GCTGCTTTAAGAGAGGAAAACTCACTTTAAGGGCAAATTTCTGGGAGTTTCCAGGTTTTTTTCAGTTACGAAGAGCTAGATTAATCTCATATGAGTTTTTTCACTCTTCTAATTACCGGTGATTCCCAAGCCAAGCTTTAACCCACACCTGAAAGCACTAAAATACTCGCATTTATAGCACACTCGCTTGAACTCGCTCTCATCGCTTGGCCACTTTAGCATCGCATCGTCAGCTCGGTCGCCGGTGTGGACGTACCCTAATAGAAGTACAGTTACGCGTTGCCTGAATTAGGCAACAACTTGCCTCACCGGAAGGCGCCCAGTTTACTTTGCAAAAGGAAAAGCTTCAAAGCTAATTATTATTCCACAGCTGTATGAGGCTTTTTGCATAATCCAGATTGTTTTCTGTCGCATTTTCTTACTGAAATTAGTAACTGCTTTAGTCTAGCAGGATTAAACGGTTGAGCTATGAGGACCATAGTTCCTACATAGCATTAGTAATATAAGTATTTGGAAAACTTTATCGTACTGAGCTCGCTAAAATACATTTAATTCTGTTTTTTGCAAATCTGGTTAGATTTGTATACAGGATGGTGGCGTATTAGAGGTTTAAGGCGAACAGGATGCCCGATCTATCTACCAATTTGTACAACGAAGTCATCGGATATGCTCTATCGGCCTAAAATATTTTCAGCAATGCGGGGTTGGCGTTTATACCGAAACGTGCATACAACTTTTATATTTTAAATGAGACACCCTGTATATTATTGCACGGTTAGATTAGCTACACAAATCTAATTATTTTTGCTTACCGATTCCTATATCTGTCTAAAGCGATTTTTTTGCAAAAATGCGATTTTGTCGACGTATTTGTCAAAATAGCCATGAAATCTCATAATAGTTAAAGATATTGCAATTCTTCAATCCAGTTGTCAGTTTAGTTATAGATACAGCTTCTGTACGCTTTTTATACAAAATGAAGAGAAACAATTATTCAAACGAAGTTTTAATGAACCAATTTATTCTTCACGGACAATGTGACCAAATTTAAAACAAATGAATGCACAGAAGTTTGTGCAAATATAAGACAATTTAATTATTTACGATATAGAACTGGATTGAAACAAGTAAGCAAACGCATAACTGAGAATTAAAAAAAGGCGCCTAATAAATAATTTATTTTGATCTTGTAAATAATTTCTTTTAATTTACCCACATGAAAAAATCTGGGGCCGTAAGATCGGGAGATCTCGCAGGCCAGTCGCTTACCACTGCCTTAGAATTTGGAGGTACTTGGATGAATTTAACGATTCTTCATAAAGGTGAAACTTTATTTGATTATCCTTTATGAGGCAAAAAATATTGATGCTGAATCTTTCTTGAAATGACATTTGACRAACCACGTGTGGATTATGATCCGCCCAGAAACGTTTATTTCGTCTATTGGAAATGCCCCCCCTGGAAAATTTGGCTTCATCTGTCCAAATTACGTTTTTTTTTTAGTTAGGGTCTTGTTGTGTATGCACCAGAATTGCTTCACAAAATCTCATTATCCGRTGATAGTCTTCTGGCTTCAGGGCTTGGMSTTTTGCGAACTTGTACGAATGCATTGCATGCTTGATCAGGATCCTTTAAATGRCACTATRGRCTAAGCCCAAATGATCTGCGGCAYTTCGAAGAGAAGCTTTAGGATATGCACGGAAGTACGCTAAAGCATTTRCAATGTTGTCTTCATCAGAAGTTACAGGTTTTGGTAAGTKCGGTTCAGCTTTCAGTTTGGTGCCATAATTAAGGAAATTGTGTTGTATTCGCACAAACTTCTTTGCATTCATTTGCTTTAAATTAGGAAACATTTCGTTAAATTTTCCTTGTCCTTGAAACAATTTGGTCACATTGTCCATGAAGAATACATAGTTTTATTAAAACTTCGTTTGAATAATTGTTGCTCTCCATTTTGTGAATAATTAAGTCTAAACTGCATTAACAAGTGCATAAAATCCGCCTCTATTACTTTGCTGACTGCTGACTTGACAACTGATTTGAAGAATTGCAAAATCTTCAACAATTATGACATTTCATGGCTATTTTGACAAATACCTCGACATAATCGAATTTTCACAAAAATGTCCATTTATTTCGGAAATTTGACGCTTTAGGTATTCAAACATAATATATCGGTTCACAGGGAATTTAACGGTCTTCCCGCATTTGAACTAATATACAGGGTGTTCAATTTGAAAAAATGCAATTGGAGCAGTTTTTATCTCTAGCCGAAAAGTCAGTATTTT